ACCGGTAAAACCAGAAGCACTAACCGCCACGTGCCATGGTACTCGAACCATGTCCTCTTCTTTCAATCCGCTACGAATCATGGTACTCGAACCATGACATCACCTCTCGATCTGGTACAAATCATGGTACTCGAACCATGACATCACCTCTCGATCTGCTATAAACCATGGTACCCGAACCATGTTATCTTCTCTTAATCTGCTACTGATCATGGCGCTCGAACCATGTTCTCTCTTCTCAATCTGCTACGAACCATGGTACTCGAACCATATTCTCCCTTCTCAATCCGTTACAAATCATGGTACTCGAACCATATTCTCCCTTCTCAATCCGCTACGAATCATGGTACTCGAACCATATTCTCCCTTCTCAATCCGCTACGAATCATGGTACTCGAACCATGATATCACCTCTCGATCTGCTACTTCGAACCTCCGGAATACTCCCTGCATCGAGTATGGGTCCTCTTCTTTTAGTAGTACGGGCCCATACTATCTGCCACATCTACCCATACTTTCTACACGGACCATCCCGGAGTTCCTAAGTAGCTGCTCAACCTTCTCAATCACCAATCCCGACACGCGTACTCGCTCCCCAGCGAAATTCTCTACTCTGTCAGCACACTCATCGGACCATGGTCACCCCCTAGGCTCTTCCTCAGTCCTCACCCTTCTTTATCATCAGCTGCTGAAGAACTCCTTATGACGCCAGTCACCTACCTCCTGAATATCGTCATATTCACTTGGTATTTGACTCCCATCATCAGGAGTCCCACAAAGCACGAAGCAAGCAGCATTCGAGCATCGAATAGTCTCTACCATCACACAGAACCACTATAGGTGATAATTCCACTTGCTCTACTCATACTCAAAAGATATCACCAAACTCAACAACTCTACCCCTCGCGGGTATCTAACTACTCTCTCAATAGGCTCCACAAATTGTCATCTAGGTATCTCTCCTAGATTACTCCTCTACTCAAATCCCTCTCTAAAAGGATTCCTGCTGGATACTCTTACTCAGCATATACTCGAAAGCACATCACAAATAACAGCAACTCTTAGGCTAAGGCATCACAAATCAGGCCAATTTAGTCCTAAAATATGAAATACCTAGCCTATCTCTAACATGCATCATATCTCGTAACATATCTCATAATACAAAAGTAAGGGTATTTTGGGAAATCACTGTTCGGGCGCTGGCTGATTGTACACACTGCTCTTTTCCGCTTTCTCTTGAAATATTTACTCTTTTCCAGAAAAATCGTTTCTTTTGAAAACTTTTCTTAAATCCTCGGTTTGAGTCCAGACATACCCGAAGGTGTATCCGAATCCCTCAAACCAAGGCTCTGATACCAACTTGTAACGACGTGAATTTTCAAAACAAAATTTTCATTTAAAATTACATAATTCCCATAATGTATTTCACAAAAATCTCATTTATTAAGTTTACAACTCAAACTCCATAATTACTCGGTTAAAATCCAGGATCCTCAAAAATGTAACTCTTTCACTGGTGTGTACAACCAAGTCGGTGCCGTCCAGCGATCCTGAGGAAACCTGAAACACATAACACATAACACGGTAAGCACGAAGCTTAGTGAGTTCCCCAAAATACCACATGCACATATTAGCCACTCGAGGCTGTAACTCTGGTAGACCTTCCGGCCCTACCTGATGACCTTCCGGTCCTACTCTGTTGACCTTCCGGCCCAACTCTGTTGACCTTCCGGTCCACGCCCTGTCGACCTTCCGGTCCGAACCAGGCAACTCATAACATAGCATATCACATAAGACATATATCACATTTTACATATAAGCACCTAAGACCTTCCGGTCACACATAGTTACCACTCTAGGTAAAGTATAGTGAGAAAACTCACCTGACAAGCAGCAAGTAAAGACCTCGCTCCCGAATCTCGAACTAGCCTCCGCCTAACACAAGGGATGAATATCTCTAAGTGATACTCTAATCACAACTCTAATGACCGAAGGCTATTCTTCCTCTCTTTAACTCTTTGAAGTGGATAAAAGACCATTTTACCCCTCCATGGTCTCTACTACTCATGTTCACCAAAGCCCCAAAGTCAACAGAAGTCAAACTCGAGTCAACAGTCCATGTTTGACCCGACTCGCCGAGTGCACCCTTGCGACTCGTCGAGTCCACTTATTTTCCTCAGAAGTCTCGTGACAGTCCAGCTCAGCTCGTCGAGTTGACCCCTAACTCGTCAAGCTATCGCATGATTCAGTTATTCGGGACAAACCCTAACTAACTCGTCGAGTCGGCTCATTGACTCGGCGGGTTCATTCAGACCAAAAGTTCATTCAGACGATTTCAATCAGATCTATCACTCCAAACACTAGATCTATCAACCCAAGGCTCAATAATCACGTAAAGCTTCGATCTTTACGTTCATACATGAGGTTATTTCTCCAAAATGCTAATACATGCCTTTCATGAAGGATTTAGCTCATCAACCCTCATTTGAACGACTGAAGATGGGACACCTAGACTCTAAGGACCTTAGGAGGTCCAGATCTGAGGTTTCCAACCTCAAACCATGTCTCATTCAACTCATAGATTCGAAAGGATGGAAGCAAAGCCCTAAAACTCCCAAAATGAGATCTAATACAAGGAATGAACAAGATGAGGACTGTGTACCTTCTCTTAGCAGCTGAAACACTTAATACCACAGATCCACTGCCTTCCTTTGTTCCCCATCATGAAGCTCTTTATCCTTCTTCATAGAAATGCACCAAGATTGCCCAAAATGATCACACACTCACTTCACACAGGTTAGAACGGTTTAAGGGTTTCTCTCAGGCTCTCAAGGGTGAATGGAGGCGGAAATGAGGTCCTGAGGCCCCTTAAATAGGTCACAAACTCGGAGACTTAGGGTTTCTCTGCCCAGCACCAACTCGGCGAGTCTGCCTCCCGACTCGTCGAGTTCATTCATTTAATCCCATACGGCTGCTCGACCCTACTCGGCGAGTTGGGCTCCCAACTCGTCGAGTCACTCCATAAACCTCAAGAATCTAACCGAATAATATCATACCTGAAATCTCGGATGTTACAAGTCTACTCAAGAATCATATTAAAATGATATTGCTTATTAACATATGATACTAATGGGTCACACTAACAACAACTTGATATAATTGATTATTTATTAGAAATTTATTTTAATAAATATTCAATAAACTCTTATAATTAAATTGGAAATTATATATTTCTAGTAAATAATAATTTTCATTAGCAAGTAACATTATATATAATTCATATGGTATGAATTAATAAGTCATGCACAACATTTTGGACTAGAAAAATTCTTTTGTCTTTTACCAAAAAGTTAAAGTTTATATTTTATAAACTTGGTTTATAAAATATAAAGCTTTTATTTTCTTCCTTTTATTATTTTTATAAAATAAGAGTCAAAAGACAAGAGTATGGTTTTCATGTTAATTTATTCAAAAGTAATCGGTATGGGAGAAAGCATGGGGGGACAAGCTTGTTTAAAGGGATTAATGGTTAAGAACCTTTAGATTAAGTCTTCACTTTAACTAGCTTAGAGGCTTTCATGTTGTGTGTCCTCTTTTACATGCAAATTTCGAAATTCCTAAGCTCTCCCTCATTCTCTCTTGTTTTGTTAAGAACACTTGAAGATTACTTGCATTTATACTCTCTTGAAGTTCATACTTTGGTTATAAACTTCAAGCTTAAGAGTTATATGAGTTTTACAAGACTAGCATCTTAAATCAAGTTGGTAACTTGTTGGTGTCTCAAAGGTTCCACATTCTCCATCAACTTCTAAGCCTCCCCAAGAGAACCCAAAGAACAACAAAGGTTGTTATTTCTTCATCATTTCTATGGTTGGTGTTTAAATATATCTATAATTTGCAAGATGTTCCTTGGTGGGTATAAAATGTTTATGTTATGTTCTAAATCATAAGTCTCCCGTTTGCCAATTTTATAGTTTTTGAAACTATTGTCGAACTAAAACCCAACAGCATGTAGCTCTACATTCTTTTGGAAGGACATTTGAATTAGCCCCGATGATTTGCAATCCCATTTCCACTAGTATATGCTCTAGAATCCTAAAAAAATTGTAACGTTGCTAATAGATGCCTTATCTTAGTTGCTTTTTGGTTTTGGAAACCCCGTGCCAATGATGTGATCATTACAAACCTTACTGAGCTTAACGAGATAAACCACCTTATCGTCACCTTCCCTTTCGGCTTAGTCCAGACAAACTTCGATTCAAGATAACTCCAAATGGGTAATTCACTATTGATGCCATGATAAGATTTTGAAATCCAAGTTTAACCCCTATTTTGGCCCCTCAACTTTGATAAATTTGGTACTTATCAAAGTAAATTGTTTCATCTAGAGGGCTTATCTCGAGAGTATTCTTGTGGCTGACACATTCTCCAGCAGGGACATCAACATCAATTCCCAAATTCGTAATAACTACAACACTGATATCAAAACAATTGATCATATTCTAATTGGGTGCAACATTGCTTATGGTGCTATGCATTAGATCTTTAAATGGCAGGGCATTCTTGATCAATAGTTTTCCGACACAACAAGTTCTCACTATGCAACCAATTGGGGTAAGTGTCCTAAAAAACAGAAAATCACCGTTTCCATCTTCTACTACCTGTTATGGTACATTTAGACGCGCTTAATAACAACATTTTTAACCGCATCGTTCCTTTCCCACTAAAGTTGCAGATGAAGTTACCTTGTTATTATATATTTTGTATAAATTCAACGATAAGATAGGCAATGTTAGTTGAACAGAACGGTGTTGGTCTCCTTTTTCTCTTTAAAATTATAACATATATCTTGTTCTTTTTCCCCACGTTTTAGTTACTTGCTACTCGTATTGTTTTTTATTTAATATATTCATATAGAACTCTCACCCTATATTCCCTTTAAAGAGGTGCCATGTATTTATAACAAGTCAAGACTTTCTTTTAGTAATTTCTTGAAAATGTACACGCCCACAACCAACTAATTTATACGAAAACAAGATTTTAAAACCACCCAATAAGAACCACACCACCAGTCCACCACTACTAATCCAATTACAAACATGAAACAAATTATATACATGTTTTTTTTTATGGGAGACTGATCAAACCCGATACTTGTACCCCCGATTCCTTCTATAATAAAAAAAATTCCCAATAACCTCACAATCTTTACATACATTCCGAAAATCAATCTCAAATATCTCTCTCATCAAGCTACATTCCTCCTTAGGAGTATCTGCATATACAAAAATAAAATAAATTACAAAATTACAAAAACCGTAGATGCCTAAAAAGTCGAGCCCAACTGAAAAACGGGTCTACACGTTGTGCACAGAAATGACCAAATAAAGATTCTTTATAGATCTTTTAGCAGACATGTACAACTGTTTTCTGCATCAATGCTTGTAACGTACAACTCAATCATGCCTGTCGCCTGTGGGGTTTTTATCAAAATTGGCTCTTTATGCTCTACAGTACAAGTCCTTAATGCACGAGGACATAATGCCACAAGGTACACCAAATAGGTGTTGTGTTGAGTAAACTTTAAAAAGTTCCAATTTTATTAAAGTTCTGTTATACGGTACAAGTTGATGATGCATACCTGTAACTTGTATCTGCAAAACTGGCGTAACCATAGTACAAGTTGATGATGCATGTGGTACAAGTTGATGATGCGTAGTGTTGTTGTGGTTTTCGTTTTAGTTTTGAAGTTTGACTTTGACTCTTGCATCGTGAAGAATCTTGGAGTACCTTTGAAACCCATTCTTGAATGTGAATGTTGATACCTAAAATAAGATTTAAAAATTTTAATTTTAAGAATCAATTTTCAAATTCAAATTAATAATAAAATAAAACAAATTAATAATTAGAAAATTAATTATGAATGTAAAGCAGGAACTGAATCATGCCAGTATCTAGTCGTGCTAGCACCACTATTATAATTTTTTTTTTTTTACTTTTTTGTTTTTTCCTATTTTTATATTTAATTTGTAGCATAAAAGAGCTATTATACTTTTATCTTCATATTTTATATTACTATTAACTATTATACTTTGACTTTATCAAATAAATTATCTTTTTGTATATAGGCATGTCCGATTTATTGGGAGACTCAATAACTATATTGAAAATGACTAGAAATACTATGAATAAAAATAAATAACAATTACGCTTTTCTAGAAAATGCAACTTGGGGAATGAAAGTCAACAAGTTTGAAATAAAAACTTGTACGAAATTGTTTTGATTACTAGACTTTTTTGAATAATTATCAAGAATAATAATGTCAATAATTAAAATAAAACCAAATCCCTCCACATGGAATTAAAATAAGATCGCTTATTTTATACCAATATATCACATACACTTAGCTTTCATAATGATATCATTTATTTAATACTCATATAATATTAATACTTTCCATGTTATAAATACATAAAGTCACAATTGAACGTTTTCATTGATATCATATAAATGTTATAAATACGAAAGAATAATTTGTAAATCATTTGGATTTATACCAAATATTTCTTTATAAAAACTCATGAGATAATCAAAGAAGGTAAACAAAAACCGTTTATAAGCCGAATTCGGAGGACCCACCTCAACGCAAGTTGCATTTTTTTTTCTTGTATTTTCTCATCGGATTTAATTATTAAAGCCATTTAAATACAATAAATTTGAATTTAAATTCGTTGTAATCTTGCTAAATCCGACATTTTTATGGTTTATAGATTGTACATTATGCATGAATAGTTGTATAATTTTGGTATTTTTAAATTTAGAAAATAAATAGAAAATAAAAAAATAAAAACTTACAGCTTCGATATCAATTTTGTAAACAAGAAGCTTCCGTCGCTCTCTACAACTAGTCCGATATGCCACCACGATGTGACCAATCGCCAACGCCGGCGAACAAACAAACAACGCCACCTCCGTCGCTCCACAACCACCACTTCCGCCGCCGAACACGTACGACGCCTTTAATGACACAAAAAAACAACGACGCTACTGAACAAACCGTCGTTATTCCCAAGTATGGACCCGTGGTCGTGGATAGTCCATGTCCGTCGCACAATCCGTATACACCTGCGAAAATTCACAAACATCCGTTCAGGCGTTCAGATCATAGTCAATGATGACTCGAATGTCAATTGTACTGGAATTCATTAATCGATTGATGAACATACATAAAATGATTCCGGATCTGATTATCGAGATGAGAGGGATATCGATAAGCGAGTAACGAAAATCGTAATTGCTCAAATGAGATGATAGCGTTTGGAGGAAGGAAGGATCGTTTGACGGAGATGAAAGTGAAGCTGAGAACAGAGCAGTTGGGAGGAGAACGTCGGCGACGGCAACAAGTATCGGCGCAGAGAAGATGAGGAAAGATATAATCATGGTTATCAAGAAGAACACCGTTCTGATTCCTCTCAATACTCTTTTACTCTTCTCATCTTTCAAAAACCCCATCATTTTGGTTGCCGATTGTTCGTCAATCGTGAGATTTCACTATTTCAGGTAGGTAAAGGAGAAGGGTTTCAGGTTTGGATGATTTTGGGTGGGAGTTGAAAGCTAAGCAATGAGTTGGAAACTTAAAAGGGGGTACGAGTCAAATAGAGGAACCTCTTTCTCTCTCTAGAAGAATTGTGCTGTGTTGTGTGTATTGAAAGAATCAAAATGAATTAAAATACAATTGAAACAGTTTTATCACCCAATCATGTTCTTAAACGACATTTATTAGTTGTCTAAACAGGAAAAAGATGCAACTTTATAGAATTTTCAGAAGGAATAGAAAAGGATAATCGAATTTGGTATCTTTTTACTACATATACAACATGACCAAAGGGTTTAAAGAAGTTTTTCTCAAAAATGGTTGTTCTTGTTAACCAGTTTGTCTAGTTGGAATTTGGAAACAACAATTTCGATGATTTGTATGTCTTTGCTTGTCCTTTTGGCTTCTAAGGTTTATTCCTTTTTTAAGGGTGTCATAAAAAGTTGGACAAAGCCCATGCTTTGAGACCATTCCTCATGGTTCAACTTCAATTAATTGTTACAAAACAATGACCTTTCATCCTTGTTCGTTTTTGTTTTTATATACCAACAGTTACCATGTTGTTTGGAACGATAGCATAATGAAGTTTTTAATAAAAATAACTAAATTTTATCTATTTTACAAAAATAACCATTGTGTTCTAAATAAGTTGTTTCGTATTTGTTATTGACATTTCGGACCAACTAAAAACATTTAAGTTGTATTTTTTTCTCATTTCTACTTTTTTTTCTTTTCAAAATGTTGTCCGTTAATATTCGAAATGTCTAATATTACGGTTTTTTTTATTAGGGATAATGATTCTTTGATGCATCTAGGAACATCAAACATTCACAAATTACACAAACAGTGGATGGACAATCGATCTTCTTCCTTGTTCTTGATATCATAGGAAGCAATGGGATTGAACCTGTGAAATTATTGTCACTGAAATTATGGATCATGGCAGGGGTAAATCAGGAAAACAGAAGATGGATTTCTAATCGAAGGTGGGAGATGAAGATGAACACATGAACACAGATGAAGATAAAATCGTTTGTAGTTGTGTTCCTGAAATCGATTTCCTCCTTTAGATTTCGAGATTTTGCGCTCGACATTGCAAGGGAAAGACCATAATATGGCCCATGGCAAGATGCGACTGTAAGACGATGATGTGGCCCATAACATTCACCAGAGGTTGGAGCAGGCCCGTTATTCCATGTATGATTGTTTTGTATGTTTATGTCGATAGGAGATTTAGTTGGTCAGCGCTAGAGCCGAACACTTTGTGTGGATGCATTGTATGTATGATGGAATATGTGGCATACTAGACAACTCACTAAGCTTTATGCTTACAGTTGTAGATTAAACATTTTGCAGGTCGTTCGTGTGAAGAGCTCGGTTAGACTGTACACACGCATTGAAGATGTTCGTTTCTGTTGTTTTGTAAATTTAACTCTGATAATGTATGATTTCAATCAAACAAATGTTACTCAATGGTTTTTGTAGCAAAGGCTTAATTTTTTATTTACTTTATAAATCAAAAATATATTTGAAATTTTTGGGACGTTACAGGTTGTCGGAGATAAGGAACACCCGAAATGTCGCTGGAGGTGGAACTTAAACCCCTCCAAACAAGTTTTACCTGCCATTGTACGTAATAATGGTATGTTTTAAACAAAAATACGATTTTAAGGATTAACAGTGCATAAAAAAAACTTGAGTGGACAAATATATTAGCAAATGTATAGTTGGTTACCCTCTCAAGTCATTATCCCTTTTTATTATATGTTTATTTTACGCCTTTGTATCATGTATGTGTGTGTGACTATATCTTTATACCTTAATAAGCATTTACCTACAAATGCTGAATTTTAAGAGGTACATCCCTTAAAACATCATTTACAACAACTTTATGCATTAGAAAATAAAGTAATCCGGTCAAACGGAAAAGGTCAAAGCTAAGCGGGTCTCAAGCTGAACAAACTCTTCCAAAACACGAATCAGTCAAATTAAATGGGTATTTCCTCACATTCAGCCGATCGAATCGGTCAACAGGAGATACACTCTATATATCATCTCCTCTCTTATTTCAGTCAACACAATGTTTCCTTCAACCACTCACCATCGCCATCTTTCTCTAAAAACATGCTCCCCTTCTTCCCTCTCTTAAAATCAGAAAACCTAGATGCCCTCTTCAACCTCCGTCCTCTGGGTAATATATTTCACAGTCGTTGTGTTGCCTTCAAAACCACTGATTTTGTGTTGCCTTCAATCTGCAGATGGTTTCGATATGAGGTTAGATCGAAGCCCTAGAAGCTCTCAACCGCCTGTTGCTTCGTCCGTCGCTGTTGTTGCTACGATTGCCACCAATCAAAAATTGTATTGCTTTTCCCCTTAAATCCGGGCATATCTCCTTTAAGTGTTTTTTAATGAAGATGTTGTCGGTGATTTTGCCAGGAAACTATCCCTTATCGATCTTAGTGGGATCACTCTCAACGGGGTTGAAGATGAAGAGTTCAATCAAACCACCTTCGCCACCGTTCACCGTAACTACTAAAACTTGAGGATGAAGAATCCAATCACAGACAATTTTTTTCTACTATGGACTTCTATTTCAGGTAAATCGAGGAATGTTAGTTTGTTTCTTTTTCTTCTGTTTCGATCCATGATATATGCTTTGACTTTTTACAAAGTATTTCTTCTATTTCGATCCATGAGAAATTCCCAATTATTTGTTGTTTTTTAAATGAATTTTTTTTTCAGGAAATCTAACATCGATTATTTACTATCTTCTTCTTTTTTCCTAAAATTTTAGGAATGGGATGTATGTTCGAGCTAATGGCCAATTGAAAGGATTTCAGTTGTAAGTAGTGTTGAAAAGCCTTAATTTCATACAATAGTGCAACACACTTAAAACTTGATTGTATTGACATCTATTCTTGTAATATATGCAGCTATAGCAAATGTTCTTCTATTCTATGAGATTTTGAAGTGAATTGGAATGCAAACTAAAAAAGTAAGAATCTCGATTGCACACTCATTTGTTTACAATATATATTCACTCTTAATTTTTATTTGGTGCCGAAACAGTGGTTTTTATATCAACTGTTGCTCATGATTTTTAAGATAATGAAACAGTAGTTATATGTATGTATATATGTATCCATGTATGTAGGTTTGTGTATCTGTCTGAGTATTTGTGTGTGTATTGTGTGTATTTGTCTATTTTTGTGCTTACGTGGGTGAAAAGTCTTTTATTGAGAGGAAAATTTAATGATGAATTTGTTTTTTGTAAACTTGTTGGGACAACTATTTCAAATCCACAATAAAAAGATTAATGGATGAGAGAATTCTTAGTGTGAAGATGACAACTTTTCCTTTTCTGTGCTTAAACATTGTTTTGTTCCTGGTTCCCTTATTTACAGCTCTGTACAACTTGTGATGGCTAAGGAACAAGTGTATTCAAGGGGTTAGATCTCAAGACCAAACCTCTAAGCTGTAAGAGAGCAACTCCACGGGAATAGGAGCACCAGGGCAAAAAACGTCAGAACAGAAGAGACCTTAGCAAAAGACAACCAACTAATAGGAGAAACAAACAAAAAGGTAAACACAATATATGTGTATATTTATGTATGTAAGTGTGGAAATTTTTGTGTGTATCTGGATGTATACGTGATTGTGTAGTTTTGTTAATCAAATGATTTGTTTTATGGTTTGATTGCAAGTGTGAAACAGAAATCTTGAACTCAAAGGTGGTTGTATTTGTCGTACTCGGATAAATAGATGTGGGTTCTTGACTCTTTGGATATGTGTCTACAAAGGGTGTTGATTTCTTTGGATGTTCGCTGGTGCATTCCTATTTTTCTATAAAATTGACAATATTACCCTTGTTGATGTAGAGAAGAGTCTTGGGTACAGAGCTGGTTCTTGATTCTAAATTTTGGGAGTTGGTCATTAAGGATTCATCACATGGAATATTCAATAGGTAATTCATCTTATAGATCTCTTTTTCCTGGAAATGGACCATTTTGCCCCTGAGTATTGTTCAGTACAAATGGTGTTTATTTTCGTTGTTGAAGCTATATTTAATTGGATGTGGATTTCCTCTTAGCGATGTTAACTCCTCATGGTGTCTCATATTTTTTATTTTAGTGACCTTTTTTCCCCTGAGGATAGACATTTCTAATTTTTGGTTGTTGTGGTTGTTTTTTCTCTAGCACTCCTTTGGTGGTGCCCTTGTTGCTGTCTGTACTGTAACCTATTTTCCCTTGGAATTGCTTTGCATTAACTCTCTAGGAAATTAGTTGGCTTTATTTTTGCAATTTCTTCTTCCTCCCTCAATAGTGGACGATTTCTAACCCTTATAGGGTTTGTGAAATTGACCATCCTCCTAGTTTTCTTTTTGGTTACTCTCTTGGAGTCTTGGGTGTGAAACAAAACAGGGATTCTTGCTATTAGGTCCTGCAGTGTCCTAAATTTTCTGCCTAAGTTTTTCATTTTTAAAATAAATATAGAATAACTCAAAAACCCTTTTTCATTAAAAGATCATAGTCATACATTCATTTAAAACATCACGAAAGAAGAATAGAGAGTTTAGCGAAATTCTTAAAACATAATTATTTCTTCGATGCGAGTACAGTCACGCTGGAGCCTTTATGCGATCAGAGGAACTACCTGAAAAAGATTTAATCAACATCTATAATCAAGAAACTTAGTGAGTTCTCCAAAATACCACATACAATAATATACATACTATGCATATAGATAATAGCCTTCAGCACAAAGTTGGTCAGCCTTCTCGCGGCGTGGTATATTAATAATCGTGGTGTGGTGACGAGGGGGTTTGTGTTTTCCTAATCGCGACCTGTTGACCAAACCGTGGTGTGTTCCTACCCTGCATGCAACGCGTTTTCTGTACAGAGTAGATCATTTTCTGTTTTCTAACCTAATTTTTATATAGATCATGTGTAATCTTTTAGGGTGCTTAATTGCTTCCTATAGGGTGTTCTTCCTCTATCTATTTCCAAATAACTTAGACTATAGGTGAGTCATGTTATGTTGAAAATGTTGTACCTTATTGGAGAAATTTCATATACTAGAATGAGTGAATTGGTCCTAGGATGTTATAGG